AGGGTGCTCCTAACTCATACGAAGACTCCAAAGAAGCCTTACTGGGACCATCCCTGTCCTTTTGTGTTGTTATATTGTTGTGTCTACTAGCCCAGCTTGGAGTGCCAAATACCTTCGTAAACAGTCCTCTTTCATGAAGAATATCGAGCCAACTGGTAGGGAGGTTCAGTAGGACTGTCTTTGTCTACTCACAAGCACAAGCGCGGTATGTTTGTGTGGCCCGATTGGCATGTTGCACGTGGTTCAATTTTAGGCTAAGTTTCGATCAATTATATGAACGTCTACTTACGCTGGATAGCAGGCATGGATATGACAAAATACGGCAGAGTCAGCTAGGATCTTCTCCATGAAGCTGTCAAAACTTCAACATTGTTAGGCTGAGTTTTTCGAGAAGAACCAAGGGGAATTCGTATTTTCACCCATTAATTTAATAAAATCAAGTACAAAGTCTTTGAATTGATCATGCAAAAGTTTAACGCTCCCCTACTGACCGATCACGCGACTGGAAAATATGTAAGCGTCCCGAATCATGCGGTAGAAAAAGGCGCCGGTTGTGTCGGCCTCGTCAGTTGGTTTTGGGCCATAAAAATTGATTTGTACAAAAACTTGACAATCAAAATCGGACGTTTGCGATGGAGAGGATGTGTTCCAGGTCAGTCAGAGTTCATCACGCGTAGAAGTCTCTGGGATCAGAGGTCACCTGGCGGGCAACAATATAAGGAAAAAGAATAAATCATTTCCAATCAAAAAATCGGCTAATTAATGTTGCGATACTTTTCGATGAGTGGAAACATTGAACTCAAAAAAATAAACAGAACATGTTTGCTATCACGGAATGCATTTTCATCAACTTTTACTGAGACTTATCGACAAAAATCACCAGAGTATCGCTGAACTACAAGACAACTAAATTTGTAGGGTAAAATCCAAAAGTTATAAAGAGAATCTGAAGCTTAGGCACCATGGAGGAACTGCGTGAGCTGCACCCCAAAACTTCCTCACGTTCAAAATGCACGAACAAGTGAAAGACAATTTAGCAGCAGTACTGATTAAAGCAGCACAAACTAAGAAGAGCAAGCACGGTACCCGATAGGGATAATTTGTGTGTGCTGCTCACCAATTCCTTCACGGCGCATAAGCTTCGGAGTCTCTTAAAAACCTTTGGATTCTATTCTACAAGTTTGATTGTCAAACTGTCCAGCCATTTTTTGTCAGGGGAGTCATTTTTGTCGATATCTCGATTTTGTCGAACTTCGATGTCTAAAGGGTACAATCACTGGTTTAAAAACAACTAAGAGAGTCAACCACAATTTCTACTTGAGTATTTTCATTGAATTGGCATCTAGTGCAGGAAGGATAAGCTGTTCTCTCAAATTCACTTTAGCCTTTGCACACGAGGTGCTACTCAGGAATAAATGAGTATTTTAGAAGAGAGCTATAAAGCGTGGAAAGCGGACGGATAAGAGAAGCTCATACCATTTTTTCGGCGACTCCCATGGTCATAGTCGTCGAGTCAAAAGCGACCTGCTCGGCTTCACTCTCGGACATCGAGTCAGCTGCAATTAAAACGCATTAATGACTTCAAAAAAGTGCGGTTGCACATACCAAAAAATCAGTCATAAAATCGCAATCCTCAGTGTCAGAGACTATCGCTCCGATTCGTCAGCTTGGCTAGCCCAACTAACTAATAAAAACAGACACTGGTGACTATAACAAAATAATTACATCCAACGAAATTTGAGACTTACTCTTAATTCCCAGCAGACGACTTATGTCGGGATTTTCTCCACGCGCCAACCGCTCAACTGTTTCTTTGAGACACTTCACAAGTAATCGACTATCCACCAGTTTCTTCTGAGTTGACCTAAACAAAATAGCTACGAGACTGTAAAATCAACCAGAGACTATATAAATCCTACTACTTTGTGTGTGTATGCAAGTGCATGTGTGTGTCTGTGAGCGGAAAATTTTGCTCTATTGAACCTAAAGCGTTTGAATCCGGGACGGACACAGAAAACAGTAAAGAGACATTGAGATGGTAATGGACAGGAAGTGATATCAACCAATGATAGCACTTTTAATGGGTCATACGGTGCAATAACCTCCGGATCCGTTACGACGTCCGCATTGACGGTAGAGCCCTGACGCTTTACCATAAGGTCTAGGCTGTGATGGGATCGTAAATATGGGCTTATGAATGTGATAGTGATAAGAAATGATGAGAAAGAGAAATGAAAAATGGAATGACATTAGTGGGAACAATTATGATATACGGGAAAATGTCAATTTCTTCGAAAACCCTTCGAGAAAAATTCAAACTCCCACTCTTCGAAAAAATTCAACTATGAATTTAGTTCATGAGAAGACCAAAAATCACAGACCGAGGCTACATAACCAAAAGCCAGAGAGTTATAGAACCTTTCTATCAATTAAGCTCCTCAGTCTCGTTCGCCTATTTTCGGCAAACTGGGATGCCGTTCCACCTTCCGGCACTCTCCCTTTGTCGAGCACTCCGAATTTTTCACGAAAATGAAAAAAGCTGATCATAGAGCAGACAAACCAAACGAAAATGAAAATCAAAACAAAGTTGAAAGAATTACCTCAGGCTTCTGCTCATGGCCGCAGAAACGTCATCTCTTCGATTGCAATTCGCGTCAATGGCATAATTGGAGAGACTTTTNCTCGTTCGCCTATTTTCGGCAAACTGGGATGCCGTTCCACCTTCCGGCACTCTCCCTTTGTCGAGCACTCCGAATTTTTCACGAAAATGAAATAAGCTAATCATAGAGCAGACAAACCAAGCGAAAATGAAAATCAAAACAAAGTTGAAAGAATACCTCAGGCTTCTGCTCATGGCCGCAGAAACGTCATCTCTTCGATTGCAATTCGCGTCAATGGCATAATTGGAGAGACTTTTTGTCAGACCTCCACTTTTTGGGCGAGGTTGCGGACTTAGGTTAGCACCCAATGTTGAATGAGCCTGAAACCATAATATTATTTATGAAGTTAAAACGAGCTGAAATGTTCACATGAAAGGATGTAAATAAAATGTTGCTAGAAAAAACAACTTCTGCACTTCGGGTGGTAGGGACGAGCCTTTCAGTACATAACAACACTTTACTGAACAACAAATGCCTTCATAGCTGCACCCCGAAAGGCTTGTTCACTCACATGGGGAAAGCATGGGAAAGCCGTTCTGCTCTCCGAATAAAACAGGAATGTCAAACAACGCTTCCCACGATAAATTTCACAAACTCCTTGGGTTAATGGGAAGATTCTTCTTTCTCCCTTGTGACCCGAAAGAATGTATCTATCGAAATAGAATGATAGAAAATATGCCGAGACAGAAATTTCGTGATCCCTCTTAATTCTACCCAGGAGACGGAAGTCACACATACAAGCGAGAAAATCATACAGGAAACAAGTTTGGAAACCGTACAACAAGGTTGCGAGCACTGATAAAAGCAAAAGTACTCGTCACGAAATCATCACCTTTGTATATGGACGAGCTGGAGTGAAAGGAGGTCTGATCTCGGCTAAAGATTCAGTTTCATCTGCGAGAGGCGTTGACCCGGATGAGCAAGACTGTTGATAAAGGGTCGCTTCCATTCGCATAGACTTAAAAAGATAGACTACGTAAAAGACAAGGAGAATTATATGAACATGAATGCTATTCGAGACATAAATAAATAATTGGTTAAATAAACCAACTGCAATATGCCGTTCCAGCTCCTTTACGGTATTCTCTTTGGAGTCCAGCGTCTGACTCAATGTGTCGTTTTGCAACTCCAAGTAATCAAATTCTTTTTTCAAATCCTCGTAGCTCTTCATCATTTTCTCCTTCTCGGCCAATTCGCTACGTAGTCGAGCAAGTTCCTTCTCCTAGAAAAGGGGTGTATCCATGAGGAACACCGAATTCAAAACTCGTGTATGTACCTGGCTTCTAATCTTCTCTTGTGTCTCAGCGATAGCACTCAACTGCCCGCTGTCAAGAACTTTCGCTTTCTCTTGATACTTTACAGATTCTGCCTCGAGATCATTCAACCTTGACAAAGTTTTATTATTTCATTGAATAATTACGGCAAAAAGCATAAAACGTATGATCAAAAGTTTCAACCTACTTATTTACAACCCTGACTAGCTCTTCCTTAGCCTGTTCGGAATCTTTTTTGAATTTGCGTACTTCTTCATCGTAATCGGCTTGCTGCCGCTCCATTTGAGCGTAGGCCTTTCTGAGTTTCGCCTGAAAGAGCAACTTAAGGGGTGAAGAGCGCTGCCCGTGAAAGTTTAATTAACAAAAGCTTACTTGAAGTCGTTCAATCTCTACTTCTTTACTGACGACCTCTTTGGCCATGAGTTGTTGAGTGACGGAAGAAGACGGTGATGAGTTAGAGATGATAAGCTGAGTTGGTGGTGGGACATGTGAGGAGCGAACATGGCCATCTGAACAAATCAAAATCTTTATGGCAAAAAAGAAAGCAAAACGTTTACGATAAGTTTTCATTAGCTATGGATACTAAGTAATCGCTTAGGTTTCAATATACGCTGCAGTATTAGACGATGGAAATGGAATAAAAAGTATTTCGAAGTATCTCAAAGCGCTAAAACCAATCACTACATAGCTGCCCACGTAAGCTGGGATCAAGGAAAGAGTGCAAATTATGGCGCTACTTATTCACTCTTCTCACTTTATCCAACCTTCCAGAAATTGCTCTTTTGTTTGTAAGATATTCCCTTGTGTAAGATAAGAAGAGAATAAGGAAAGGAGTGCTAGGAAAGAAGAATGTGAAGAGTTAAGAGATGAGAGATTCTCCAATTTGTCCCTAAGAAATGCCATGCGGCAAACTGGTCTTTAGTCGATCGAATTTGAGAAAAGATGCGTAGTGGCGTCCGCCGCGTTGAATCCACATGCTGCGTGAAGCCTGCCCTCACAAGCCGGTGTGCAGTGCGACCAGTCCGTTACGGCCGCTCCTTCCGTATCCAGCTTTGGCACTTCGCTTTGTCCGTAATGAAATGGGAATGTTTCGCCCGAGTCACCTTTTTTCCAGTGGATTGTAGTCTTCCATTCATGGATGCAAGAAGAAAAGGTCATCACAAAATGAACAAGAAATTGCTGAAGCGAAGAAGAGAAGTTTGTGACAGCGACCTAGTTCAAAAACAATGACCGCAAAAACCCCTCCTGACCCATACCCAGCCTTCTTTCTTTCGTCATTGGAAAAGAAGAAAATTTAAGTTAGACATATATTGAAACAGTCATGAAAATGATGTTTATATTGTCACTGGAACTAGTATATACCAAAAAAGAAGGTTTTTTGCACTTTCCATCATACTGCTTTTTTGCTTTCATGAGTTACATATTTTTTTTCTTCAAGTCTCTTTGGGCGTCGATCAATCCCGTCTGAGGGATGCGCGCCGCATTCGACTTCTATTCAGAATTATAGTGGCGTGTTGAATGTGTGACCGATGCAGTGACTTTCGGTGGCCAGCCGATATAGGAGAAAGTGCTTTTTATCCTCCCAGACGAATCTGGTACCAGTTAACCGAGGGATGAAAGTGTTGCCCTAAACGGATATCCATCCGAGATTCGAACCCGCGACCATGCGTGTGTGATAGCACGCTAGTTATCACCATGCCACCTCCGCCCTTTCCATGAAAGCTTGCAGAAATATTACAGAATGGACTGCAGAATGCTGCTATTCTGAAGGACTCAAAGCGGCTAAATATCCAGGTTGTACCTAAATTGATTCATCCGTTTCGTGTAACTTCGACATTTGAACTTCGACGATGTTCTGGTCTCTTCACGCATAAATTCTGCCACAGGCATATGTAACGTTTGAGGGCTTCCAGTGAGCCTTAACTTCAAGCATCGCTTTGCGAAAAACGCTGTAAAAATTATTACGGATGTCTACCCTGTCAGGCCTATTCGCTCGTTGTGGTAAAGTCCATTTTTTTCAATCAAATCGTAATTGATCAAGTGCTTCGCCATAAAACCGTTCCTAAATGCGACGATCACAGAAAAACGCCACAGAGCCAGTTCGCTTCTTTTGAAACTTGATTAAACTATCGGAAACTAAAAAGCACCGTTCCCAAAGAAAAAGGGAAGAAAACGACTTGAAACGAAAGAAAGCGGCACCTTTGAGAACACCCTCAAAGAATGATTACGATCGCTCCGCTTCATGACTGTGACGAGAGTGACAGCTAGTCGTTAACTTGACATTCCAGTCCGACCTCTTGCAATTCCTCACATAGCTAAGAAATAGCTTAAAGGCACTGTTCACGAAAAAATGGTTTCGGAGATCTGCACATGGTTTGAATTCGACGTCCCCTCTGATACCATTTGTGCAGGAATGAGGTCGGAAAACTGTCTGGATAGGGCACAATAAGGGCAGGAACAGTGGGGGACGGGAGGCCTCCGCCCCTCGCTAGGCTAACTCGAAATCTAATTGCCGTTCATCACTTTCGCATTGGGAGAAGTTGTCTNGCTTGGGTGTGTTGTCTGCTATTGCAGACATTGCGTCGCCTTCCTGCACTCGCCCGAACACTCCCTTAACCGCCGTTCTTCCAATGTGAAACTCGTCCAACCCCCCTTTCCAGCTCTTTTTTGACCCTTTCTATTTCTTTCTGTTCATCGTTCTTTGCGCTTTTTTCGCTGATATCGCTTTATTCTAGAGTAGTTCTATGAATTCCCGTCAAAAGAGGGTACCCTAAATTTATCGTAAACGGTGCCTTTAGGGTATCGAAACGGGTGTCAGTAAACGGGTGCCAAAAGAGATCATTGGAGAGCATTCTCGATTCTCCTCAAGTAAAATAATTTGTCCGTTGGACGACGTTACGCGTAGATGTCGTTGATCCTCTCGACTATGGAACTCCCTGTCTTTCACGAATACGCAGCTTGGGGAGGAAATAGAGACCGACACCTGGTTTCCGTGCACAGCATGACACCCTTCATGAGTGTGTGAAATGCCTCATCACCAACCTGCATCTGAGAACTTAAGGCAGCTAACGACAACTGCCAAGACTTAACATTTATCGAAACCTTTGCTGACTGTGTCTTCTTTCGCGAAGCAAGTAGGATAGCGATGGAAATTACATTGGGAATGTGGCCTCTCTCAATATACGCTTGATTCTAGTGCTTTTGTGAATGCCGAAGTGTGGCAATGTTTACACTAAGGAAACATTCTGACTGAGACGCCTGTCCTCATAACATACTCAGTTTAATTTCGTAGAAGAACGAGTTTGGAAAGGGCTTAGAAGTTTAAAAGCAAGAGTTAAGACAGGCTTTCTATTGCCGAGCGTGCCCGCTAGTAAGTGGAAAACATGGACATGGAAAGACGAAATAAACAATGAGAGCCTCCTGCGAAAGGGCAGGCAGACTTACTAATTTACTGTTCCTGATGTCAGATTTGACGTTCTGCTGGCCTTTACTTTTCTTTTCGTTCCCAAGTGCCTTCGAAGGATAGCCGAACTGAGAAAAATAAACCGTTCGCCATCAGGGTTAAACTTCTTTCCTTGCTACACCGAGTAAAATCTTTACAGTCATTCTTCAGGGTGCAGGCTTTAAATTATGAGCACTAATGAAATTGTATTGATACAAAGAAGAGGCGTCTGGTCGCCGTGTCGTTGACCGAGAACACAGATGTGACTAAAGGTGTGGTCTGAGGTTGAAAAGCGTCCTTCAATCGGTCTTTGGCACCATGGACTTGACCTGAGGATGCGCATGAACAGATTTAGTATACAGTGGTAGAAGAACTTCACGTCTGGAAAATACCTAGACGCCAAACTGTCGCCACATTTCTAATTCTGTTCCACACTTTTCAACTTAAATCAACGGTGGGCACGATAACGAATGACTAGGAGGATCGAGGAAGATTCACATGTGGAGAATATGAATAAGAAAAGTAGGGGAACTTTACTGACAAACTCTTCGATAACCTGTGCACTGCCTGAATTTCTAAAGTTGACAGTAATAGGGTAGTGATTTGTTAAGGAAGTTTCAGAAAAGAGCGGTAAGGGCGAATCAAACGAATACATGATTTGAGAATAGAGCTGCAATAAAGAATCAAATAGGTGGATAATTACGATTACGGACATGTGAGCAGCTTTGTTAAGCGTACCTCGAGGTAAAATTGACATCGTTGCATGATAGAAGTCGGAATTTCATTCGGAACATCTAACGAATGAGTCGGAATACCGACTAGCATTTTCGGGACATGAAACAAAGGACAGAGACGTATATAGCTNGTTGGGAAGGGGGGAGGTAGTTGTCAAGTGGCACACTGCGACGCACACCGTCAGCGATCAAATCCTACACAGGTACTTGTCGAAGCCAATTAAACCCTCTATCCTTCCCTCATCTCTCAAGCGCACTCCAACATTATTACAGTTCTGGAGACTTTGATTAGAAGCCGAATGCATGGGCACATTCCAAACGAGATTAATCAATGCCAGAAACGGTAGGCCTCAAAGGTATGTGCAGCGAAATTGGTTGTTTGGTTAATGATTACTTCTTTGTTTGCAATGAATAGTTTTTTTCCCCTGAGAGAACGACCAAGGGCGGTTTAGGGGAGTAACGTGTAAAAAGTCTAGAGTGGAAACGAAATGAATGACAGCTTTAAAGAAGGGATAGTATGCAACATCGAACGCTGAGCTTTCTAAGTTTTTTTTTCTGTAAACTAACGTTACATGCAACTTCGTAGTGAACAGAGCCGAGTCTTCCGGAAATATCTGAAACATAGAATAGGTGTCGAAAACTCACGCTTGCTCTGTTGTGTGGGCGTGACCGGTATCACTACAGCGGTATTGTTCGCAGTAGCTGCTTGTCCCACAACCATTGCTTCCAACTCTCTGACTCGTTGTTCCAAAGACGTCACTCTCGAATCTTTAGGAGATGGAGGCGGACCATCCACTAAAAGAGCTGAATCAGTAGCGGTGCAAAAACATTCAAAAGGGCTCTTCCTCCATGCAATTGTCTGCTGTAAAATTTGACGTGAAATTTTAGACTATGAGCAGTCCATTTCAACTGGGCAGTCCATTTCAACTTTTGTTGTAAAATCTCCTTTTGAATTGTTTTCATTTCACAGCCCCTGGTTTAGTGAATTCCAGACCGGCCAATTCCTACTGTAACAGTGACTGGCTCGAGTCGCTGGAATGGTCCACTAAAGTGTTCCTATGATCAACCGGCCGACGTATATCTCCTCTAATTTTTCTGCTGTTCTTATCCCAACTTAATTGAAGAAATGGGGAAAAGATATGGCAATAAGATGTCTTGACCTAGCTTTCCTGAATGCTCCGATTATTGCTGAAATTGAATAGAGAATTGGATAGAATATAGATATCATCGCAACACTCCAGGGGGAAATCTCTATAGACCCCCTATTGAGCCTAGAAACGCGACCGATTCGGAGGCCATACCCTGGCTTCGACAACGATATATCTTGCAATGGAAAAAATTCGAATGGAAGGAAAGTCATAAAATGAAATTGCTACGCACGCCTCAAACTGTTTTGAAATTTGCACTAAAGTGCACGGGTAAGCGGAACACAAGGACGAAAGCATTCGCATGGTCTATCATGCCAGGTAACACAGCTCGATATAACCTGAACTATAGCTAGGAAGAAACATGAGAGCATAGTCACTACAGTGATTGGTTATCATTATCTTCTAATACAGCTATGTATTCAAATGTTTCTTTGTTAATGTCGTTCTTGATTTCTGCACCACAACATCGAATAAGCATGGTGTACGTTAAGCACTCTATGGGAGGTCGAAATTGAATCNAAAGTCATAAAATGAAATTGCTACGCACGCCTCAAACTGTTTTGAAATTTGCACTAAAGTGCACGGGTAAGCGGAACTCAAGGACGAAAGCATTCGCATGGTCTATCATGCCAGGTAATACAGCTCGATATAACTTGAACTATAGCTAGGAAGAAGCATGAGAGCATAGCCACTACAGTGATTGGTTATCATTATCTTCTAATACAACTATGTATTCAAATGTTTCTTTGATGTCGTTCTTGATTTCTGCACCACAACATCGAATAAGCATGGTGTACGTTAAGCACTCTATGGGAGGTCGAAATTGAATCCTGACAGATCCAATTACGTCCAGTTTATTGGGCGGAACACGCACTCTCCGTAATTGGAGACGGACCCTCTAGTTGTCAAGCCTAATGATCTCTAAAAAAACTGGTTCTTAACCTTAAATCCATTCCAAAGTTAGTGCTTTGTCGGGTATCTAGAGGGCTTAGGGTTAGCGGTGAAAGGTAGTAGGCAATCATCAAAATCGAACTAAGAACACAAAAATTTAGTACTTTTCCACTGATTTACAATCACAAATAGCATTTCCCAGCTATACTTTTATGGAAGGTTAAGGAAATGAAATTCGTTCCCATTAAATCGAAAGCAAAACGGGAAAAATAGGTAAGAAGAGAATCAAAAAATCGAAATGGATCAACAAATAAAAATACCCACCAAGCCGTTCTTCACCACTGCCGCGAATGTAGGCCTGGTAAGCCGGCAACACCAGACCTGCATTACTGTTTCTTCGTTCGAGCGCTGAACCGAACTGCCTGAATTCGCATAAAATTAACATCTGTTTCAAACCCCAGCGGAGATTGAAAAATGTTCGACTTTCTAGACATATTCGCCCAAATTCTCTCCTAACAACTGAGAAACTATCAGCGAAAACGTTCTTGGGATCACTCCACTGTATTCCGCGTTTTAACGCTAAGAGCTATGGTGAGCTTGAAAAAGGATGGGACGCGAACTTGCGGGCCTGTAGTGATTCTCAGAAACGTACCTTAACCAGTGAGGTGAAGTTTTCGGCCTACGACGAAAAAGAGGAGCAAAAGAGTGGATGAGATGCTGACTTGATACAAAAAAACTTAATGGAAGAGGACTGGATACTGCCTCGCCAGGACAAAGGGCAGAAAGAACACAAACAAAAACGTGTGGGGATTCCTTCTCAATATTTTGGGCATTACCGCTAACCTTGCTTGACTTGCTTCTTCTCGCCCCACGCCTTTAACTTAATTTCTGTGACTGTTTAACGAATTAGTGGACCAAAATAGACAAAAATATTCAATAAATAGATCCACGAGGGACAAATCTTAGATAGTCATCTCTTTGGAATTCCAGTTGAAAACCACGCTATTCACAGCGGAAAAGTTCATATGATCCAAATGCTCAACGAAAGGAGCGGAAAGGTTGTTAGCGCCATCATGCACCTGGCGGTTCCCTAAGAACGGTTCGGCCACAACCAAGCACAGTTTTTCTTTCCCGTGATCCTATATTGTATTACTCGAATGATAGGATAAAAACAAAGAAGAAACCGCAGGCTGGAATTGCCCTTGAAGACTACCGAAAGGGCTTAAGCCGGTTGAATTTCAGTATGCGTAATGCTTCTGAACGAGAACCAATGATTAAGACCTCAAATTCACTAGTTCCTTCGGTTGCGTTTTCTTCAGTTTTCCATTCAATGCTTACACCTCCATTAATATGCTCTTGGGAACCAGACTTCAATTAAGGAATTCTTTTACCCCTCGATTAACAACGCGCAGACCCAACACCCAACCCTGCAATGGAATTTAGTTCCGCATACTCAAGTTATTACCATCGTTAAATGGGCAATCACAGAAATTGGGAGCGGAAACGATAATTGATGATAGGGTTGTCTAGTCATCAAGTAATGGTTTCAAAGTATTCGAAATCTTTTAATAATCTCGATAGAAAGCTACTTTCGTGAATGTTAGTAATCTACTCACTGGTTCCTGTCTACTTCGGATTCTCTTTGATGTCGATGCCTCGACTTCTGAACCTGAGGTTGTGGTGCCACAGCGACCTTAATAAAGAACACTTGCAATAAGACGGTACTGTCACTTGTGAGCTCCTTCCTACGTCTCTTTTCTTTTTCACAAAATTTCTGAGCTTACAAAAGGTTTACAGCTGCACTAAACAATTTCCACAATTACTAAATCTTTCGGAAGACGATGTTTCCCACCCAAAAACGATTTCCTTAAATTTCAGTTACCATACCAATTTTTAGCTTCTATTTCTATGATTTCTTATGTCAGATTATAACTTCGTAACTGGAATGCGAAGAAAAAAATCAGAGAACAGAAAGTTCGCACAGTTTTTTTAACTATGACTCTACCTCTGGTTTCTTGTCCCTTACGCTGGGCGTGAGTGAACCAGTCGGTTGGACACGGATCGTCACTGAGCCCGAGGTCCCTTCAGCAAAACGTTCTCTAACTTTATGATATATTCTGTTCATGCCGTTACAGCAGTGCATAGTCGCATACAGAAATGACCGTCTGCCTCACTAATCTCATATGGATTATAGTGGACGACGACGGAGTTTCAATCACCGTAGGTACGGTAGCGTTGTGATATAGAACGTTCGCGAATATATTATGGAGATAGAATGAGGGCTAATGGACTAGGTCGCTGTGATCGAATACGGTCGTCTCGAAATCGCTGAAAGAGAAAGCTGCTGATTTCATCGTCGATAATACACACACACGAATTTAGAGATGATCTGATTATACACGCCTACTCACATACGATGACGATACTATGACATGATGGGGAGAGGTCACCTCATGTCAACGTAACGAGCCACAAAACCGGTTGAAAAACTCAATAATTGTCGAATGTCAATGGGATTCGAAATAAAAGTCAAGTTCTGCATGCGATAACATTGATCAAATCTCTTTGAAATTGTTTTTACTCCGGACACATTTACTGATTGATAAGAAAACAGGAATGAGCCCACTCCCACAAGCAAACAAATAAAAAGAAACCTTGAAATTCACCCGGGAAAGATGGTGAGCACAGACATGTGACAAAAAGAAGGTCGACCGCTACGAAACTTTTCAACACAGCGAGTAATGACTGTGACATCCGTATTGGGACGTAACGAAGGTTCCGAGGTTACCGGCACCGGAACATAACAACTAGTTTAGGATTCATAACTACCATTACTGGTGAATCATGTGAAGGTAGTTACAATTGCCCTTGGTAGTAAATGCAAGGATGGTGGAAATAGCTAGCTACGAAGTTTTCTTGAAGGAATATTGACCTAGAAGCGACTTCGAAAAAATCTTGTTGGGCGATGAGACAGCGACCGTAAAACCAGGAATGCTGGCAAAAGGACACTGCTATCATCACATCCTTTGATCAGAACGACATGCAAAAAAGTACATTTACGACGAAAAGAACAGAAAAGCACAGCAATAGGAAGAGAAAAAAGCAACAACAATGAGGCTTATAATGTTATCTTTCATGGAAACGCCAACAAAAAGTTTGAAAACGTGCAGATCGTTCACTTTTACGACATGGACGCTGACCTGTAGAGTAATAGCAAGATGGGTGGACTGCGTTTCATGTATGGCATTGATTTCTCCCGTCCAAACAACTCGTTTATTCCCTCAATCAGTAAAAACTTGTTCCGTACTGTAAGGACGCAGGTTTCTACATTTGCCTAGCCTTGCATGCCATTATTTACCCCAACTCAATTCCTTTTTTGAAAAAATCAACCAGTTTTCACGATTGGGAAACGGCGTGGGACGGACTTGGGAGAGAATGACGGCCTCCACCACATTTCGCCCATTATCCCACAATCCGTAATCTCCGAGAATAAGAGATAATGAAGATGAAAGGCTTATTTACAGATTTGCCTCTCAGAACACAAAACAAATTGGACCACCAAAGAAGCCAATCGAAGTGTCTACGTGCGACGCACCCCCAAGTAACCACATCAAGAAACGGATTGAGCCCNTCACTCAGCGTTTCAACGCTTTCAGCAATATTTACGCTAGAACGCATGTATTACATAACTGGCTCCGTAAAAGTCAAAAACGCCCCTGAGCATGCACAAATTTCCTTCTCCGCAGCTGAATGCAGACGGAACATTCACGTTTATATTGCGGGTTTTGCTGGGCTTTTCAGCTCAAACTTTTTCGGGAGGGCATCCTTCTGTCAAATAGGAAGCGGGAGTTGGAGCCACCTAATACCCTCTGGGGTTGCTGGTACCATGGATGAGTTCATGATTTAAACTAGGCTGCTGTCATTTTCAACCTTTACCCTTTAGAGCTCCTCCATTTCCTCTAACTATTAAACAAGAAGTCGGAGCAAACTGGCCGTCTATGCCGATGTTTGCGCACAGTAGCAACGCCTCATAGGTACTCAGATAATGACGGAAAGCTTATCTTTATGATCACAATTGGGCCATAGGACCACCTTGGGACAGCGACAACTGTGTAGTAAACAAAAGGTTCTCCGAAGCTAACTTCCTAGTCGCTTTGCACACCCGGATCGTTGATTAAGATTCCGAAAATTGGCAGACTGTTTAGTTTCCCAAACCCGATCGGGGAACCCGAAACACAGAGCACTTCAAGTGATGAAAAACGAACACAAGAAACTAAAGAGGAAAACGAATACGATCTAACAACTTCTACGAATCAAAAGCCAGGTCAAAGGCGCAGCGCAACACAAGCCAGGGCTGTCAACATACAGCTCTTCGTACAGATTATGATACAACAAAGAGGTTGCGCATAGCTCACTTGTGGTCCCGAAGTGATCTGGGAAACCTTAGCGTCAACTACCAAAACAGTAAACAAGTTCTTTACAACTGTCACGAAACAAAGAAATTGCTCATATCATTCCAGACAACTCGGAACCACCTCCATTGCTCAAACTAGTTCTTCAAGCAAGATATGAATTCATTGGGCGCAGCTTAACGAAAATTCACTACATAGATTTAATAGTGCTGATAACAAACCGGCATGGAAGAGTAGTTTTGGATAGGGAAAATATAATCGGTTTGAAAAACCTTGTTAAAAATAATGAACAAATACTGCTTTCGGCAGATAGTATAAGTCTTTTAACGTTCTATTACCAAAAGGGCCCAAAACCAATTGATCTTTATCAGTAAGATATTCTACTATCTAATGGAACACTCTGTTTTTACGCCTCGACAGCGAGTCGGTACATAGTGCTTATTGTTTACATTAGCGCAACCTCCACACACAAAGACCTCTCTTGAAGCTTAGCCATATACTCTAGCGCCCTTTTGAATCACTAACGGCTAGAACGCAGTGCAGGAACAGTAGCCGAGCCCGTAATGGTGCTTAGGAACATTTCATAGCTTTTTTTGTTAAAATTGTGTATTTTGTACTTAATAATAAGTAGGGAGGAGCTCCGGGGCGCCAATTGGATGTTCAATTCGTATCTCATCTTTCTGCACGAAATAACCATCTCACCCAACCCAGTGCTCCTCCCTATTTTGGAGTTGGGTAAAAATGTTTTTAGTCTGAAAAGCGTCTCTAGGAACATTAAGATCGGCTACCCCTCCTCTCTGCGCTCTAGCCAAGAGCGCTGCCCCCCCCCCAACATTACCAGGATTAGCAGGTTCACTCCCTAGATATGGGTCTAGCAAGAGGGGCGC